AGCCCCTGCAGAGTGGAACGTAATCATCCTGTGGGAAAATGGTATTCTAACTGCAGCAGCGAGCAGCCTCCCAGGCCTCTCTGGTCCTTGTCTGAGACCCTAAGTTACAGAGAAGGAGAGACACGCTAAATTGATGCCACATTTTTGCACCCTTTAACTCCGCTCATTTACCAAGGTTTTTCTGAGTGCAAGACAGAAAGAAATTAACAGGTATGGAAATAAGACTCAGAAAAAAAGATCTAGATTCTGCCTGCCAGCAGTGCACAGAGTGGCCCAGGGGACTCTGGGAGTTAGACACTGCTGCCAGCCAATGCCAGATGTGAAAGGGGCCTGAGCTCTGAGTTTGGTTTTTACCACTGATCCTCTGAATGCCTTGGAAAAATTGCCTCTAAAGAATTAAGATTTTGCTTGCTTTTTGAGGGAGCTCTGGTGATCTAGTCTTTAGAGGGTTATATTGCGACCCTGAAAGCTGTACCTCTCTGGTTGATGGTTCATATCCACCAACTGCTTCTCAGGACAAAGATGGACAGTCCTGTCCTGTGCGACTCAAGAAATCCAGCGGAGGGTCGGCCCTGAGTTGGTTCTGGTTCGGTGGCAATGAGCTGAGTGAGCTTTGTTGCGCTGAGGTAGGCTGAGTGCTGCGGGCAAGAGCAGAAGATCTTAATCTGGAATCCACGGACCCCTGTAGGTCCTAAATCCTAAAGACCAAATTCAGTAACTTCTTGAGGTTACCTGTCCTCATCTGAAATGAAAGTCACAATATAACAGTCCTACATAATAAAAAAAAAATCAATGTAAGGTCCTATCTATAAAATAAAAGGGAGCTTGGTGGCCTACTGGATAAGGAGTTACGCTACCAACCCAAAGGCAGCCAGTTTGAATCCATCAGCTGCTCCAAGAGAGGCAGATGACCAATCTTACCTCATATGATTTACAGCCTCTGAAAACTCACTGGAGGGTCAGCTGTGGATCAGCTCTATCTTGACAGCACATAACAACTACCACAACATAATATACAAGAAAAAAAGAACAGGAAGCTGACTCAGAATAAAGTGTATTTTTTTTTCAGTACTTCAGTGAGAGGGCAAGATTGTCTCAGACCTGTTTCAGAGACATCTCTTCAGAGTGGTTCCTTTTCCCAGCGGGTCCATTATGACACCCTGGGTTTTGAAGCTGTTTCACATACTTTGGGCATGTGGCCAGTAGGACATTATGCTTGGAAGGGTAGAAGGACAGCGGAGGAGAGGGAGACCCCAGATGAGATGGATTGCTACAGTAACTGGGGCAATGAGGCTGGGTGTGTTGGAGTCAGTGAGACTGGCTCAAGACAGGGTTCAGAGCTGCTGTAGATAGGCTCGCTATGGGTCACAGATGACTCAGTGGCGCTTAACAATAACAGGGGACCTACAATTGTGTGTTTTATTAGATTTGTCAGGGAATTTGCTTAAAAAAATTAAAAAAGTGTTAGGACCCTTGGGTGAGAGGATGTCTGTTGACTCTGTGGGTCTGCAAATCGTGACAGGTGTCCAAGTAAATGGTGTAGATGCTGAAGTTGTAGGAGCTGCACTGACCTTAGGCTTGTGTCTCAGGACAGACTGTTATTTTGAAGGGCAAAATAGCATCTTAGACGGAGTCTTCTTACGTGTGGAGTTTAGTCTTGGAAGCTCAAAGACTTCTCCACATGCCCGACCCTTTGGTTGCTATGGTTCGTCATCCAGGGCAGATGGGAAGTTCTCTTTCCACAAGTCGCTGCTTTGGAGGCATTGGTCCTGACACCACTGGCCTCCTCTCTGGTGCAGAGAGGAGATGTGTAATAGTCACTCTGAAGAGCTGGCTGGTGGTCTAGTCTATAGGGAGTCATCCCCTTCATCCACCAGCACCGTGGGAGAAAGATGGCAGTCTCCTCCCCTGTGATTTACAGCCTCTGAACCCCGAGGGAGCTTCAGCTATGAGTGGGTTCCAAGTCCATGATGGTGAGTTATGAGTTATTTCACATCATGGAGAGAGGGCGGTAGTAGGCTTACCCTCAGCCTAAATCATGCTTTTTATCCAGGGGCAGGAAAGGAAAAGACCTAAAAGACCAGGATTTTAAAGAGATTAAAAAAAAACCAAAAATCTTGGGGAGCTCTGGTGGCCTAGTGACAAGAAGCTGCACTACAATCCCAGAGGTGCACGGTTCGAATCCACCAGACGCTTTGCCGGGGAAGGAGGGACAATCTCCTTCTGTACCAGTCAGATCTGATTTGACGGTACACACACACACTCTAAAATAAAAATAAAACTTAAAAAAAAACCAAAACAAACAAAAACCTTGGAAAAGTGAGAGAAGACAAAGATGAGGAAGGGGATAGAGCTGGAGTTTTTGGTTGTGTGTGTGTTTTTTTAATTTTATAAATTTTAATGAAAATTTACAGAGGTTTTGGATTTCGATTCATTCATTGTTGCACTTTTCTCCCTGCCCACCCCAGAGTTTTTGTTTTTACACTCCATTCTCTTGAAGGCTGTTTGAAATGGAGCAACTTCCCAAAGAAACAAGGTTTGATAAAAACAGTCCGTTCCTTTGCCAGGGTTTGGCCTCCTTGGCCACCTGTGTGGCTTTTTCCTCTCCTCAGAGGAAACCATTGCTAACAGGTCTTGTCTGTTAAAATATTTTCCATGCTACCTACAGGACCTGTACATGAATTCATAGAAATTATGTCTGTCATCCAGTGTATATTTGAAAAAAAATTGCAATTGCAATGGTAAATAAAACGAATTAGAATTTAAATGTTTAGGGTAAACATTTGAGTGGTACCAACAAAAAGAACTAGTAGCAAGGGAGCTCTGGTGACCTAGTGGCAAGAAGCTGCACTGCAATCCCAGAAGTATGCAGTTCGAATCCACCAGATGCTCTGCTGAAGAAGGAGGGGCAATCTCCTCTTGTACCAGTCAGATCCGATTTGACAGTACACACACACATAATCAAAGAACTAGTAGCATAGGTACACATAACAGCCAAAATTAAAAAAAAAGTTTGTTTACATGTTTACAATATGCTAATAGATGTTGCAAGCTAATTGTTCTGCATTTTTCTCTTTTGGCCTGAGGATATATCATGGACATTTACCCCAGTCACTTATTTTTAAATTTTTGTACTGGTTTATTTACAAAGTTTATAGATACTGTTTATATATATATATATATATATATATATATATATATATATATATATACACACACACACACACACACACATTGTGTTTCTTTTTTTAATATATACACACTGTTTTTCACACTAGATCTTTCCCATTTACTTCACCCACCTCCCCCTCCCTCCATCAAATTGTGCAACCCTATGATGAACCCCCTACCCTCCCGCCCATCTTCACCCCTCTATTCCCTCCCTCCCCCCTTGCAACCTCATATTCATTCTACAAATTACCTCCATCACTTCTTAAAGAGCAAACTTCTTCCTTTTTATTCCAAAACATTATTCCCTCATATTGAAATAGAGTACAATCTGTTTAAGCAATTCTCCTCTTTGCATTTGCCCCAATCTGTATATTACACACAGTGTTGTAATCATGGTCCCTTTATTATCCTGTAAGATGATTTCCTGGTTCAAACAGGTTTGCATTTTGCCTTTTATCAGAAACTGAACAAGACTGAGTTTTCTAGGTCTACATTGGCAGGAAGAATTGCCAGTGGCACAAAAGTGGTTACAAAGTCCTGGTGGTGTTGTACATTATATATCCAGCCACTAACCTAAAGGTTGTTGGTTCAAATCCACCAGCAGCTACTCCAAGGGAGAAAGTCTTCTTCTATAGATATATTTCCTTGGGAACCCAATGGAGGGTCTCTATGGATTGGATCCATTGCATCAGTTTGTTGTCGTTATGTGTTGTTGGGTAGATTGTGACTCACAGTGACCCTATGAACAATAGCTCTGGTCCCTGCCCTATCCTGACCTATAGGCGACTGTCTCTGACACATTTGCCCCCATTGCTACAGTACTCTGTCAAGCCATCTCATCCAGGGTGTTCCTTTCCAGCTCTGACCTTTCTATGCACGATGTGGAGCTAATACTTCGCTCATAGAATTGTTGTGAAAAAATAGTAAAATAAAAGATAAATTACCAACCCAGTACTAGGCAGATTGAGACATACAGCCATTATTACTATTATTTTTTACTTTATTATTATTTGCACGTGTACTGTCAAATCAGATCTGACTGGTACAGGAGGAGATTGCCCCTCCTTTTCCAGCAGAGCATCTGGTGGATTTGAACCTCATACCTCTGGGATTGCAGTGTAGCTTCTTACCACTAGGCCACCAGAGCTCCCACAGCCATTATTATTATTATTATTATTATTACTGCTGCTGCTGCTGCTACTACTACTACTACTTCTGCTCCCCCTAGCTCAGATGCCTCCAGGAAGCCTTTCATGTGATTTCTTAGAGCTCCCTCTGCTCACAACAAAGCATCCTTGGAGGCAAAGATGACAAAGTTTCATCTCACATACTTTGGGCATGTTGTTGGGAGAAGCTATTCCTTGGAAAGGGTTAACCTGCTTGGAAAGGTGAAGAGATGGCTAAATAGAGGAAGACCTTTAATGAGATGGACTGACATAGTGACTGCAGCAGTGGGCTCTAGTGTATCAGAGATGATGAAGCTGGCACAGGACAGGAGAGAGTTCACATCTATTGCTCATAGGGTTGCTATGAAACGTACTCAACTCGATGGTACCTAACAACAACTACTTACAACCTGCCAGAGAAGTGATTGCCTCTGTCACTCATGTCAGCATGGCACTTGCCGTGCGTTCCCCTCCACACCTGTATGTGAACATTTTGTCAGCCCCGCAAGGCGGAGTTTGTTCTCAAGAGCCATGGCTTATGCCTCCTTTATCCCCATTACCTACCCACCACGCTCCCTTGCTCAGCAGACACAAGTCAACACTTGTGGTCCCCAAACCCTTTGTCAGGATTATCTGAATGTCTGCTTTTCTGCCTCCCCTCAGATGTCCTGCGATTCGACAACACCTACAGCTTCATTCACGCCAAGAAGGTCAGTTTCACCGTGGAAGTCTTGCTTCCCGACAAAGCTTCGGAAGAGAAGATGAAGCAGCTGGGGGTGGTCACCCCAAAGTAATGCCTTCTCCCACTGCAGGCCTGGCCCCCTCATGTCTCCTTGCCGATTTTCACCCCCTGTGGCAGTCAGTCCCTAACCCCTATGGCTCTGCGGAACTGGGCTGGGGGGAAGACCTCAGGCAGAAACTGGGGCACATTCATTTCAGAATTAGGGAGAGGGCCTGAAGTGGATTTCCTTGCTCTCCAAATGACCTGAGAGAGCCCCAGGGGCTGGGCACCACAGTATTGACTATTGATCTCATAAACTGTGCCAAGTTCACCTGGCCAGTGACTAAGACTGCAGGGGAGAAATGAAAGGGGAGAGATGGAGATCTAACATCGTAGGGAAGCCAGCTGCAAGGGAGGACTTGCTCCCACGTGGACATGTAAATCTAGATCATAATGAGGAGTAGCAGGGTAGCCAATTGCTAGAAGTGTGGGGACCAGATTTCCATAACTGAGGCCAGGATAGCTTTGGGCTTTCCCCCTAAATCACTGGAGGAGGTGTTGTCGGCATAGATTGTCCCATTCAGGGGTAGATAAGCCTACCTCCACCTCCCCCGGAGAACCTCAGTAACTCCTGGGTGCACTGGCTGCCTCTTTAATTATTAGCGATTGTCAGTGACTCAGAGCTTGCTGGGACAGTAACCTTGGGTAACCAGCCACTGTCCACAAGGCAAACAAAGCACATAGGACATTACCTCCAGGGAACCCAAGCCCTACAAAGGGCTTCCATTCCCTTTACTACTGCTGGCCTCTTGCCGAGTAATCTGCCTTCTGAGCACCCCAGACAAAAGTGGGATCAAGACAGCAGCACACATTTGGGGCTCTCCTGGGATGCCAACCCAATTCTGAGCCAGCTCTTGGCAGTCAGGTGCAGAGAGGGTTCTTGTGCCTAGGGGACCAGGTGGAGAGACTGCCTGGGTGGGAGGCCAAGGGCCAGGCCAGCGGGGGCTTCACCATACAGGATCGGGTGGGGAACTCTGGGGATGGAAGCTTCATAACCTGCGAGCGACCACAGCTCTTGGGCCAAACTGTGCCCCACAGGGGACGAACGCCAGGTCCAGCGCTGCCTAAAACAAGGGAGGATGTCCAGTCTCTGGCAGGAATGCCTGTCCTTCTGATATCCAGGCCCTGGCCCAGCCTGGACAGCTCAACTTGACGAAGCTGAGGGTGCACTGGGTAGGGCTACGGCAGACAAGAGGAGGCCCGAGGCCTCGTGGGCCCACACCAGACTATCCAAGAGGACATCCCGGCCTTGGTTTACAATGCTCTGTTAGGAAAATTAACCAATGAATAAAGCAACGTTCAGTGCGCAGGGTGTGCAATTCAATGACAACCGGCGACTTGCTTTTACCTGCCCTAACTGTAAACCACATCCACGACTTCCCGCCAATAGGCGGCACGCACGAGCAGAATTTCTCCTTTGCCCTTCTCTCGCGTGGTCTTTCCCTTGGGGCCCAACGGAAAACATGCTTCCTGATTGGTCCGGCTGATGAGCGGTCTTCCGCCATCTTTTCTAAGGGTATTGAGGTACTCCCTGCTGTCCTCATGGTGAGGGCAGAGGCCCCACCCCGCTCAGGTTTCCCTGTGAGCGTGAGCGGCTCGTGCACGCGGACAAGTGCATCCTGGCGAGAGTGCGCTTCGCCTGCGGTGGTGGGCCAAGACCGGGAGGAGGAGGACCGGTGGAGCCACGATCACGTGGTATTAGGGACCGTCTCCCAATTCCATGCCAGCTCTGCGTATGTGTCAGGATGTTGGTTGTGTATCGTCAGGAAATCGACTCATAGCTGACCGACCCATGGGCTTTTTCCAGAAGCAGTGACTCTTAAGGGTAGACAATCTTTCTCCCAAGGAGTATCTGGTGCATTCAAACCGCGCGCCTTTGTGTTGGCAACGCAACTCCTAACCTCTTAAGTACCAGAGCTCCTTAGTGGCTGGGGGACAATTCAAATCCCATCTCCCTGCAGAATCACCGCTGCCCGAGTTGTCCTTCACGACCCTGTGATGTCAATGGCGCACAGGTTTGAACATGCCATTCTCAATAGGCATTAATCATCTTCATTTTACCCACCTTCATCTGATTTTACTGAATGAGCCCTACTGCGTGCAGTTTACTGCCTTGGATTGTTGCAAAGATGTAAGGAAATTATTCCACAGTTCAAAAGAAGAGAGCTTGGCACAAGTAAGCATTTAATGAATATTGCCTCCTTTCATTTATATTTTACAAATGTAGCAACTGGTGCTCAGGGAGGCTAACAGTAATATGAGGCACAGTTGGGATTTGAACCCAGGACTTCTGTATCCTCTAGTGGTGTGCCTTTGCCTGTCCACATTTCAGAGTTGTAGTGACTCTGAATTCAGTTTATTCTGGTAGAGGAAGGATCTCCCTGATGCTGTTAACACAAAGCACGCTCCCTAGTCCCCTAGATGTTTTGCTTGGTTCACAAGAGTCATGTGCGCTAACCCTGCCTCCCTCCATTCATTCATTCAAAGTCATTCCCAAAAGACTTGGTTAGGGCCGACCAATCCCAGTTAGTGCTCCAACGTTGAACATGGGGAGCTCGGGGAGCAGCAGGGGCTCCGGAGTTACACTGCCTGAGTTCAAATCCTCCGCTCCACACCTTAAAAAAGGACCGGCTTTGCCTTGAGGTAATTCAGCTGGGGTCCTTACCCAACTCCTGGCTCAAAGTAAGCTCCATAAACGTGACAGTTATTCTGACAACCATCCTAGGGCGTGGACTCTGTCATCCCCCCCCCCCCCATTTTGCAGATGACTAAAGTAAGGCTCAGTTTAGCCCATGTTAAGCAGCTAGGAGGTGTAACATCCCAGTTCGAACCCCGGCCTCTTTGGCTCTCCTCAAACCAGTCAGTCCTGAGAAAGGTGGAGAAATCACACCGCCCCCGTCAGCCTAGAAAACGCGTCAAGAAAATTACTCAGGAAAACCCGAGCCCGGGAGAGGGGCTTCGGTACGCGGGGGAATTTGCAGACGCTCCCTGCGAGCGGGAACTGCACGCACGACTTGTCCTTCAGCCCGGGACCTTTGGCCGGTCCTGCCGCACAGTTGACTGGAGGCCGAGGCGTCAGAAGCTGCTGCAGTGGCCAGGGGCACCGTAGGAGAGCCATGCCTGAGCCGCCGCCGCGCGCTGTCGAGCGTGACCTCTACCGGGACACGTGGGTGCGGTACCTGGGTGAGCTAGGGGCTCCATGGTCCCTCTGACCACTTTGTGCCTGGAGTAGTAATAGCCAGGAGCAGGCGGGAGGGTGTTAGCTCTCATTTCACTTCAGGCTGGAAACTGGGCTCACAGAGGGCAAAGGACTTTCCCAAGGCCACACAGCGCTGGTGGGACCAGACTTATTCTCGGGCGTCTCTGCAGGTCAGCCTTGCAGAGCCTCGAACCCGGATCTCTGGGGCATGCAGCGATCGCGCTGACCCTGGGCATGCCTGAGCCTTGGCTATGGAGTCAGGTGCACCTGGACTCCCATCTCCGCACTGGGCTGCTGCCTGAAAGGTTGGCCCTGGCAACCCACTCAGAGGTGCTGCGGAAGACAGGCCTGGCGATCTGCTTTAGGAAGGTCACAGCCGTTCAGACCCAATGGAGCAGTTCTACTCTAAGCAAGGGGATCGCCCTGAGTGGCAGTGGACTAACAACACACCAACCGCTCACAAGCTGTGTCTGAGCCTCAGTTTCCCCTTTGGGTAAATGAGTCGTAGAGGAGGGCTCCCCTCATTGGGTGGTGGTGCTATGAGATTCAGCCTGGCACCTGGTGAGTGACCAGTCTTTGGACTGTTTCCCCATTAATACAGACGCTTCTAGAACTTGCGCTAGGAAACGAGAACCTCTAACCAATGGGTGATGGTAATGGTGCCTCTGTGCTTGACCCCCACCCTCCTACAGTGACTAGCACTGGAGACGGGGACCGAGGCTCAGAGAGGCGAGAGGCAAGGAAGCTCGCCTAACGTCACCAGCGAGTGTTCAGCTGGTTAGATTAGAACGAACCAGCGCGCTCCAGCGGCTCCTTGTGGAACAGCGCGTGTTCCTGAGAATGAAATGTCATCCAACCTCCTTCCCACCTTTCCCCACCCAGGCTATGCCAATGAGGTGGGGGAGGCCTTCCGCTCTCTGGTGCCAGCAGCTGTGGTGTGGCTGAGCTACGGTGTGGCCAGCTCCTATGTGATGGCAGATGCCATCGACAAGGGCAAGAAGGCAGGAGAGGTGAGTGGCTAGCCCCTTGCCCCTTGCTTACCCATGCACTTCAGCCCGCTTTGCAGGTGGTAGGGTCTGACCCTCCTTTGGGATTGTCCACTCCCTGTTACCTCACCTGTGCTGCAGGCCCCGACCTGTGGCCTGCGTGTGCTAGAATCCCCCTCAGCCCCAGTGTGCACCTCAGTCCTGACCCAATTTGGAGATAGTTTATCTTTAGCCCTGTAATTGGTCCAGTCCACACCATGCCCTGCGCATGGTCTATTCGGTACCCTGAAACAGCACATGGTCGAGTCCACGCATCTGTATGGTCCACACCCTGCCCTGCACCTGGTCTAGTCTAGACCCCTGTCCTGGACATAGCAGAGTCATTCTCAAATCCTACTGTCCTCCCCAGCCCTGTGTGTGGTACAGTCCAGAACTCAACCCTACCCTCATGAGGTTTCCACACCCTCATGGGTACTGGCCGCCTTCCCAGCCCTGGGCCAGCCTCATGCCCCATATTGGAGTTTACCACCTCCACCCAGCTGTGTAACTGCCTCTTATGTCCACAGGTGACAAGCCCTGAAGCCGGCCGCAGCACCAGGGTGACAGTGGCCGTGGTGGACACCTTTGTGTGGCAGGCCCTGGCCTCTGTGGCTATCCCTGGCTTCACTGTCAACCGCGTATGTGCTGCCTCCCTCTACGTCCTGGGCAGCACCACCCGTTGGCCGCTGGCTGTCCGAAAGTGGACCACCACAGCGCTGGGGCTGCTAATTATCCCTGTCATCATGCACCCCATTGACAGGTGGGTCCCTCCCAGCATGGACATAGTAGGCTCCAGGTGTGGAGTTTCCCCGACTTTTCACTGAACAGGAGAAGGCTAGCACTTCAGGCTTTGGAGGTGTGAGTGATGCTCAGAGGTGTTGGGCTCTTAGTCTGGGATGGGCCAATGACAGCTTTCTTTGCGATGTTTTAAAAAACATTGTGATTGGAGTGAAAGTGTACAAAGCAGTCAGGGTTTTCATTCAACCCCCTCATGTACATTTTGAGTTTTTTAAAAAATATCTGTTTTTTACTTAATTTTTCTACTCTAAGCTCTTACCACCACCATTCATTAACTATATAGAGAGCATTATTTCAGTGACTCCATATTACAGCAAAATTACATTAATAAATCCTAACTTTTTAGCAGTCTTCGTATAATAGACATTAAAAATATTTTATTATTATTATACTAGTTTATTTACAAAATTAGAATACATTGTTTTTCAGAGCAGATTCTTCCAATTTCCTTCATTCCTCCACTCATCAAATTGTACAGCCCATGATTAATCCCTCCCCCCTGCACACCCTCCTCCCTCTGCTTCCCCCCTCCCCCCTTTGGACCTGTATGCTCATTCTACAGTAATGGTTTTATACAATATCTGTCCTTGTTCTCGCAGCACAACGCTCTCCAGTCCCTCCCAAGTTAGGTAACAGACATTAAACATCTTAAGAATGTTTTTGTTTGTTTCTTAATAGCAAATCTGTTTTATTTAAAATGCACACTTTTTAAGGGAGCTCTGGTGGCCTAGTGGCAAGACGCTGCACTGCAATCACAGAGGTACGCGGTTCAAATCCACCAGATGCTCTGCTGGAGAAGGAAGGGGCAATCTCCTCCTGTACCAGTCAAATCTGATTTGATGGTACATGTAAAAATAATACAATAGAAAAAAAATGCACACTTTGGTGAAAGTGGGCTGAGGTTCAATTGGCATCAGCTTCTAAAGAGTGTTTTTGACATAAATAATGATGACAGAGTTCTTTTTCTTTTTAAGGGCAAGTTTACAAAGGTTTGTAAATCAATTTTCATTCCTATTGTAAATCATGTTGGCTTTTCCTTCAATCACTCTTAGTCATTTTGTTTTATGACTTTGTAATTACAGTTTCCTTGGATCATTCATATCCATCTTTAGAACATTAATTATAGATCAATATAATTAATGATAGTATCTGATTAATATACTGTATACTGCCTCTCCCTTCCCCCAACTTAACTATTTCTTTTTATTCTCCTCTCCCTCCATTCCCATCCTTGGATGTTATGTGCCATGAAGTCAGAACTGACCCATAGCTGACTCTCCAGTGGGTTTTCAGAGGCAGTAAATCACGTGGGAAGAGATTGGCCATCTATCTCCCGAGGAGCAGCTGAATTGAATTGAATATGAATTGTTGGCTTTGGATTGGCAATAGCGCTCCTTACCGCCAGGCCCCAGAGCTCCTGCCTATCCCTAGTAGCCGTCCAAAATTAGTTCTGTGTATAAATCTTCCTTTAGCCTTTTACAATAGTGGTCTTCTACCGTAATAATCCGTTTGTGACTGCCTTATTTTGCTTATCAGAATGTCTTCTAGACGTATCCATGTGATCCACTGTTTCATGTGGTGCTTTTTTTTTTGGTGAAATTGCAAATTTCTTTGTTTCTTCCACTTTTGCTGAGTTCATTTTGTTTTTGGATTTTCTGACCATTTTCTTCATTGCACTTGTAGTTTTTAAAAAAAATATTTTTTATTGGTTTTCATATAATAATACCTTGACAGTATGTTTCATTCATATATATTCCTATACATCATATTCATTCATATACATTTTATACAATCTTTCATTTGCATTGTTTTCCATATAGTCATTTATATACATTCTACTTTACATTATTTTTATACTAATTCACAAAATTCTAATACATTGTTTTTCACACCAGATCCTTTCCATTTCCCTCACCCCCTCTTCAAATTGTAAGACCTCATCTGCATCCCCACCACCGCCCACACATCCTCACCCCTCTATTGTTTTAATGTTTTCTAAGTCTTTAGGATTTTCTTCTTTTTCCTTTTGGTAAGAAAGTCTATTCATTTTCTTGGGGTTTATAAATTACCATTTCATCCCTAAGTCTAAAACAGTTCACTGTATCTTAAGACATTAGTAACAATACCCACAGGGTGATCACACTTTCCCTTATTCCTCCCTATGAGTCTCATTTCCCTTAATCCTTCTGGCCTATCCTTTCCTGACTTCTTGGCTTTTTCGTGGACAAACCTTTCTCTTTTTTACCTTACATGGTTGGCTATTCTATGGAATGAGTGTCTCCCTGGTCATCTTATAGGCCTATTATTTGTCAGAAAGTTGAGCGAAGGGCGTGAGTTTTACTCTAGGTTTGAAGAGTGATTAAGGACCATAGCTCGGGGCTTCACCCAGTCTCTATTGGATTTGAGTTTTGTTCCACATTCCTCCCTACTCCATCTGGGATCTTCATCTGTGATCTCTTTAAGAGTGATCAGCGGTGGTAGCTGGGTACCATCTATTTCTCCTGGTCTCATAGAGTTTGCATGCTCTGCTGGCTCTTTGTCCGAATTGTTCCCATGTAGCTTTGCTTTTCTTCCGTCTTCTTTGTTCTGGACAGGATGAGACTGGTAGTTGTACTTTAGATGGATGTATGTGAAAGTTTTTAAGACCCCAGTTGATACTCATCAAAGTAGGATGTAGAATATTGTCTTCTGTGGACTGCGTCATGCCAGTTGAACTTGATGTTCGCCAAGGCTATGGATCTTCCTTGGGACTTTTGTTACCATTCAGGAACTTTCTATGGTGCTTATGCCCTTGTCATAGGATCTAAAGGTACTTTAGCAGTAAGGGAGGAGGGGGTCCTTGAAGGTATGGGACACAAGATGGTTACAATCTCAGAAAGTCTAGTGTTACAAAGACTGGTAGGAGCCAGTGCACTTGGGAGGGGATGGGCTTTGGGGACCCTGGTGACAGGTGCCCAAATAGGCTAAGGAAAACAGGAATTAATTGTTTTTTTGAAATGAAAAAGGCCAGAATTGGTAACTTTCAGGCATAGCTGGATGTTGGCCCCCAAATGATGTCATTGTAATGTACTATGAGTTAAAACTTACTCATAACTGACCCTCTTTCAGAAGCTGTAAATTGCACGGGAAGAGATTGCCTCTCTCCCAGCAGAGCAGCTTGTAGATTCAAACTGTGTACCTTTTGGATTGGCAGTACAATTCTTTACCACTAAACCACCTTGATCTCCCCATTCTACTCCCTTCTCCCACCCCACTCTGTGCTGGTTTTCCTCGTTCTCCCTTTGCGGTAGCAGAAGTGGCCTCCAACAGTTCCTCAGCTCTCTCTCATTCTACTTATTTAACAATGAGAATTCCATGGGAAGCTTCTGAATAGTGACATCAGAAATCTCAAAGCAGGCTGTCATTGGTCCATTCTGGGCCAGGTGCCCACCTCTGAGCCTGTTCTTCTTTTCTGATTGGCCCAGGTTGGGCTCTTTTCAGAACCAAATATGAAGTCAACTTAGTAGATCTACCTTAGGCTAAAGGTGTTGGCTGTTTTCCTTGTGGCTTCCTGGGTTACTGGAAGAAAGGGTCATTTCCCTGAGGACTTGAGTAAGTCCTTTATCTGCTGTGTGACTCATTTTCTCCCATTGGTGAAAGAGAAGGCTTCCTAGGTAACCCAAGATGGCAGGAGGAGACTAGAAGTTCCTTAGGTGGCATTTGTATCCTGAATCCAGGAGTCCTTTCCCCTAGCCCTGGCCCCCTCAAAGCATCCTTGATCAGCTGCTCACCGGCCCTGTTCTCTGCTCAGGTCTGTGGACTTCCTTCTGGATTCCAGCCTGCGCAAGCTGTACCCATCTGTTGAGAAGCCCAGCTCCTCCTGATTGCACTCTGGCTGCTGGCCTGGGGGTTGGCCCACTCCCTGCTCCATGCCAACTTCCTCCTTGACCAGGGACATGGCACCCAGCTCCATGAGGTTCGAGGTCCTGGCACCAGAGTGGGTTTTAACAGGACTGAAGCTTAGACACCAGCCTGGAGGAGCTTTGGCTGCAGCTGGACCTCGTCTGCTTCCCTTGAACCTGTGATCCTGTGTGGGTGTGGACCCTGGATTGGCCTAACCCTGTCTCTGATGTGGAAGTAGCACCCTCCTAACTGACAGAGGAGGACACCGAGACCCAGAGGGGACAAGCGGTGTGCCTGCCCACCCTCCCTCGGGAACCGAGGCTTAGCATCCAGAGAAATGGGGTGAGGTAGCAAGGACGCCTGAGGACCAATTCTCTGATCGGCCCATCTTGGGTGCCAGGCCCTCCCAGGGGCCTAATAAATGCTCAGGAAGTTGACTTGTATTCGACTTTTCTGTTGGGGATGAGAGTGTCTAGTGATGTGGAGCAGGCCTGGGTCCCCAAGCGGAGCCTCACTTCTGCAGTTACACATCCCTCCTGGCCTGGTACTGGCCCTATGATACCCTTCAGTCTGTCAGCATTGCCCTGTGGGGCCCGACCTTTAAGGTGGCCCATCGCCCCCTTTCTGCAAGTCCTGTAAAGTTCCGGGAGGGGCCCCTGCTGGGTCAATTGCTCCTTGGCCTGATGGCAGCCCTCCTCTAAGCTCCTCCCAGGACCCCTGTGAGGGGGTTCTTAGGAGTCTTCAAGAAAAGAGAGGCACCCTCACTCCATTTACCTGTTTTCCTTGGGGTTTCCCTTCAGCGACTGGGCCTGGGGGTTGTGAGGGGGCCTTTCTTCCCAATTCTGTACTTGTCTACAATAAACAAGGTGGGGATGGAAGGAGTCAGTCTGGCTTAGGCAGAGGGGCTGATACAGGGGTGCGGGCAGCAGCAGCCCAGGTCCCGCTCACTCAGCCCCACAAATCAGCCCTCACCAGGCCACTGGCTCTGCCACTTGCAGCCTGCCACTCAGGTGCAGCCGGGTGGGCCTGCCTTACACCAGCCAGAGGCAGAGTGGGCTGCCGGTGAGCCAGGAAGGGGGCGCTGGAAGCGTGGATCCGCTCTGGGGGTGTCTACAGCTGCAGGATGAGTCTGAAGGCTTCTCTTGGGCCTGGAGGTACCCCTTCAGGGCAGTTTGGGCCTTTGCCTGCTGCCCTTGCCCCAGGCTGGCTGGGCCCCTTGTCCAAGCCCTGCCCCCCTACCAAGTCTACTCCTGCTGCTTCTGGCTCTGTGTTGGGGGTCTCCCACATCCCTGCCTGGGCTGATACTCAGCAACCCCCATTCCCTCCTTGTATCCCTGAGAGGACACCCACATATTCTTTGTTCACTCCAGCTACCACTTGAGGGACTTTTCAACCAGTCCTCTCTTTCAGGCTTCTTCACTGCCAGTTGATAGTTTATGCTGTAAGCCTGCCCTATTCTCATCCACCTCCCAACCTTCTGCCCCCCTCTGTACCTCTGAGCCCCCAACTTGACTGGAAATCTCAGCCATCTCTCAGCCTCCTCCAGGACCACTGCCCCTTAGCCGGGCTCTCTCTGAACCCCATCTGGTTCTTGACTGTGTTGTTGGGAGCCCCACCTTGTAACCGCTGGGGAGCCACGAGCTGCCCACTCTTCATGTTTGGTCCTGAGATCTGGCACATGGTTGGCGCACGCACGAGGAAGCTGGTGCGTCTTCAGACACCTGCTCTGCTTTGAAGGGGCAGTGATTTGAGTGGGGAGGTGGGGAGGGCTGGGACCGGCTCTGCTGACCACACCCTCATCTGGATTGTTCTCTGGGCACCAGCTGGGGCCATGCGGCTTGGGGACGGCCTCCTGCGGGAATGTAAGCAGACAGAGATTCTCCTGGCCCTGAGGACAGAGACCCAACTTGAGGTCCACCACCTGTGCCTTGGCTCCTGCCCTCCCTCCCTGGTCCCTGTCATGCCTGGCTATGTGGTCTTTGCTGCCCCATTCCAGACTCGTGACTTCATCAGGCTGGTGAGGGGGCTGCTGAGGGACAAGGCTTCCAGAAACCAGGTTGGGGGGGCGGCATCTGGGAGGTTTTGAGGGTACATAGCTGGGGTGACAGGACTGGAGAAAGGGGTTGTTCTTAGGTGCTGTTGTAGCAGACCCTCAGGCAGTTTTCAGAGGCCGTAAATCACATGGGAGGATATTGCCTAGCTTTCCCTTATGGAGCAGGGATTCGAACTGTGTGCTTTAGGATTGACAGTGAAACTCCTTATCTCTAGGCCACCAGAGCTCCCAGGATAAAAGGGTAGAATCAGATTATACAAACTCCTTGTGTGACCTTGGGCAGCTAGCTGTAGCCTCTGAACCTCAGTTCCTTTTCCTAAAAGCAGTAGAGGTCTGATTATACATCACTTGGTGGCCCTGGACGTGGCACAGCCTTGTCTGTGTCTTAACCACGTGTCCTGGCCTGCGTTTGTCCGTTGCATTCTCAGCAGCACTATGAGGGAGGTGTGTGTGTGTCTATTATCCCATTACCCAGAGAAGGAAACCAAGGCTTAAAGGAGGGCAGTTACTACCAGGAGCAATTGAACACATCACTTCCCTAAGCTATAACGTGGGAGGAGATCTTGAGCATTTTTTAGGTAATTATGACCCCAGGGAGGATGAGTGACTTTGAGGCCACAGGGTAAGGTAGGGGTAAGTGGAGGGGGTACTCCCCCTGGATCCTGGTGCAATTCTTTGCTGATCTGGTCTACATGCCCCTTCCTAGTTCACCCCAAGCAGCCCCCCATTCCTACCTTCCACCATCACGTCAACTGCACATTAAAGAGGTGAGGACCACCTCGTGCCCTAAGTCCACCTTGGGTCCTGCACACACTGCCGGTTCTGCAGGACGGAGAGAAGGGGGCTGGCTGGGGGCTCCCTGCTAGTGGTCTGGGCTGTGGTGGTGGTGTTGATTGCCGTTGACCTGAGCACGACTCATAGCGACCCTATGAACAAAAAGACCTGAAGCCTTTCTAGAACTCATCATTTCTCAAAGTTTATATTTTCCAGAGGCATGTGGCTTAGGAAGTGGGTGCCACTTCTTCTAAAATTTTAGAGAAGTTAAATATTAAGAAACATTTCCAGCGGTTTTGAACTCTTCTAATAGTAACAAAGTTACTGATAGTGTTATCAGTGAGGACTGTTGAACTAGTAACATTTGAATTTTAAGCAGATTATTACACAATGAATTAATGAAAGGACTTAGGCAGAACAGAAACATGAATCACATAATACTGTTTTTTAATTTTTAGGTTCTAGTATACAGCAAGTGACCATATAATGTTTCATGGGGACAAATTTATAATATTAAACGGTTGAAAAATGAAGAAAAGGACATCAGAAATATCAAGACGTAAAGATAGCAAGGCAAAGTTCTATATTTAGAACTCTGTCTTCTGGATACTTCCGTTTGGCTGAGCTGTCTGGGGAATTTGTCATGAGCCTTCAGTGTTTGCTTTCTGGGCGCCCTGATATACCAAGGGGACTCCCGTCAACCCCTCTTTATTTTCCTGCCAGCCCAGAAGTTCCCACCTTACCCCCGGCCTCTTTGGTTACTGGATCCCTGGTGGAGCTTGGACATCTGGATTTCAGTGTGAGGCTTTGGCTGGCGTCATCCCTTCCCCCAGGTGGGGACATTGCCTGGGCTCAGGGAGGGTCCCACAGGGCAAGGTCCCCAGAGTAGGGTTTCCTGTCTCTTCAGCTGGGACACTCCTGGGGACATCAGGGACAGATGAAGGTGGCAGAGGGAAGGGCCTGGTCCCATCTTCCCCAATTCCCCCCTCAATATCTCTGGGCCTCACCTCTTTCCATTTGGTTTCCATTCCAGCCTAGGTTGGGACCAATACCAGCACCTTTTTTGCTGTGCTCCGAGCTAGCTCCACGTGGAATTTGCAGTCATTCGCGTCTCCCATCAGCCCTTGCAGCTGTATGTGGATGAATGTGTGACCAGCTCCAACAGGGGACTGAAAGTGGCTCTTCTAAATTACAGCTTCATCAGACATCATGGGTATTGGACCTGGGAGGGGGGGTATCTCTGGGGAGGCTGGAGAAGAGGCTGAGAGCCCACCCAGAGCTAGAAGGCAACAGCTATCCATACCGCTCTGAGCCCTTTACTGCTTTCTTCACCTCCACTGCCTCTGTTTGCCCTTCTGTAAAATGGGGAGAGTGCCAGAATCTTCACAGCTTTGTTGCATAGCCTGACTGGGGAGGTGTTGAGCTCAGAGCTTGGTGAGCAAGATTCTCAACAAATGATGACACATGATGGCTTGAGGCCAGCTCCCGGTTCGGAGTTGTCCCCTGGGCCCTGCTGAATTCCAGCTTGGCCTTCCAGGTGCTTGGTGGATGGCAAGGAGGCCTGTTTACTTCCTGCCCCGGGAGGTCCCTGAGAGATCGGAGTTCTCCTTTCAGGCCTTCAGCTTCATGGAGTCTCCTGATGGTAGAAGTGGGGACATTCCCTCAGCCTCTGAATCTCCTCACCCTCATCTCCCTAGAATTCCTCATCCTGAGGTCTCTGTGCCCACAGGTTTATGTTTACTGTCAGCTGCTAGCCTGGGACACAAAGGCCCCCCTGATGGCATGAAGACACAGAGACACAGGCAAGTTGCGTGCTCTGAAGGTTTACTGCGTGGCCTGCCCCTGTAACAGCTATTTCATGTAGATGACCTCACTTTGGGGAGTCCTTGGTGGTATAAACGGTTAACGTGTTTGGCGTCAAACCAAATGGTTGGTGGTTTGAGTGCCCAGCGGTGCCTTGGAAGTAACACCTGGCAATCTCTTTCTGAAATTCATGGAGTCACTCTGAGTTAGAATAGATTTGATAGCAACCATTCTAGGTTTTATTTATTTCCTTTTTATGACCTTTGAGGTAAGGTTTGCACAGGAGAGGAAACTGAGGTACAAAGAGGTTCAGACCAGTTCTCTACAATTGTTGGCCATCTTAGTGATGGT